ATCGTGCGAGGATTACCTCTCCTACGGCTCCTTCTTTTCGGTATTTGATACTCCCGCGTAAGGTGAATAGTTTCCGAGATGTTTCGATTTCCCAACTTGCCCTTATGCTCAACTAGCCCCGCTCTACCTACTATCCATTACATTAAATACATTTTTCGGACTTAAATGTCTTAAGTACAAGAATTACTATTACAGCGATTTAAAATGAAAGAAACACAAGTCCCACTAGAATGTTAAGATTTTATAATAAGTTGTAAATACGTTGCAACCATATGTTGCTTCTTCGGAAGTGAATTTCGTTAACGCATTATTTATTTTCATCCGGAGATCTCACGTTAATTAAGCGTTTAAGATTTACATACTTATCGTGTTCATTGGTTAAAACTGGCTATGTTATGGGAATTAGTTTCATCGTGCCAAAAGGAGCCCCATGTCGAGATAATTATAATATAATAATAAAGCCTGTTTATTTCCAAATGTTGAATATACTGATTATATTTATTTCTTCATGTTACTCAATATCCTAACTACCTTCAGTACCATTGATCGGAACCCCTTCATGGGTAAAGGCCTCCTACAGCTATGTCATGTCGGTATACTTATTTGAAATTATAGGCTGATCACCTTAGATAATTCACACTGACGTACTCTAGAAATATCTAAGGTATATTTCATTTTCTGTCTGTATTTGTTTTAAATTAATGATTTTTACATCATATAATCATCATAGGCATATTTAGCCTTCTTTTTGATAAACTTGCCTTATGCAAATAGGTGATTAAATTTGCTTGACACGCGTGATATACGTACGTACGTACTCTCATCAGACATATTAATTGTGAACCTGGAAATGTTAAAAATACATTGATGCACAACCGAGGGTTGAAGTTTGAACGACTAGGATTGTTATTTAGATTAGTATTTAATTAGTATCAAATGCTTCTTAATCATGTCAAATTACTTTGTTTTTTTTAAAGATCTAAAAGGTATAATATATGACGAGCGCGACGTTGGAAATCCCTGCCAATATTGCTATCGACCGTTGAATAAATTATATTAAATGTTTTTATCTTATTCTTCCTCAAGGTCCTTGTGTCCTTCAATATTCTCTAAAACATTCGTTATTTAAGAGACATTTATTGTTATAGCACACATAAAATAGCAATTAAGTACATATCGATATAATGTGGCATTTTGCATGTAATTAGAGTTTTAATTGCCTGATTAATGTAAGTATTAAAGTATTAGCATATTTTAAGCTATCGTAAAATTTATTTGAAAAATACCTTAATTAAATTATTTAAACCCGCATCGTTTAAGATGATTGATTAAAAAACATTTCATACATATCCTAGGTTTAACTATTCACATATATAGCGACGGCTCATTGGTCTAGTGGTTAGTACCCCTGACTGCGAATCCATGGGTCCCGGGTTCGATCCCCGGCTGAGACAAACATCGATGTGATGAGCATTTGGTGTTGTGCTTAGGTCTTGGGTGTTTAAATATGTATTTATATGTCTATTTATCTATAATATGTATGTATAATGTATATCCGTTGCCTAGTACCCATAACACAAGCTTCACCAGCTTAGCATGGGACTAGGTCAATTGGTGTGAATTGTCTAAAAAAAAAAAAAATATTCATTCCAAAGCTAAGACAATATGGTAACAAATGAGAAACTAAGATCTATATTATGTGTGTAAACTATCTTACATTAAAATTTTCAAAGAGGCCTAATATTCTGACGTCAAATAGTGTAGATGCAAACATGAGATAAGCCACTTTATGTTACATATCATAATTATGAGTTGAATTATCTTCATAATATGATACATGTAGTTCATTATAGCCTTGATCTTGTCCGTTTTAATATAGCGTAGGTTGATCATCTTACATTACAATTCTTTGCGGTTTTATGATTGTTATTCTTACGTAAATATTACGCTCTATGTTTTAGCTAATGTTAATTGTATTGAAATCGGTTAATACCGTAAAATGTTTATCGAATCAGAAGTGTAATCGGTAATTAAATTCAAGTACACAGGTGTGGTTTGGAACTATAATTAATTTTATTTAAATTTTCGTACTTGTTTAATAAAAAGCTACGGTGTAAGACGTCTCATAATATGTATTAATGTTGACTAAAGGCTTGACTTGTAGCTGTAACCAAGGTAGAGCAGGACGTTTGGACAGCTATTTCTGCTAATTTGTTTTGATTATCGATTCAATTTTATTTTCCTTTGACGTCTTAAAACCCACCCTAAATAGAATCGTAAATTGAATTAGACGAGAACTCATTTCGTCGTTTCATGTTGAAAAGTCGTAATTTTTTGTATAATTGTTGTTTACAATTACATCGAGTGTTTCAATTGATGTTAGTTAAAATCCTATCAGTTTCATATATGGGACGCGAACGTAACATATATTTTTTACACATACTATGCATCATATAATAAATTACATCAAAGTTTTAGATGTAACAAAACTGCAATTGATTTAAATGACTTACCCACTTAACTATAATCTAAGAAGTAAGAAAATCGTTAAATTACGTTAATAGTTAAGTTACTAAATGTTTTCTTAACGCTAAAACTATAAAGTTGTTACTTTTTATTTTGATGTTACGATTTAATTGTCTCCGTGACAGTGGTCCAGCGCTAAGTTTGAGTATATTTTTTGTTTGGAAGGCAAAGATACTTGAAGTCTGAAAATTTTCAATAATTTAATTAAAGTACTTCACTTATATTAAAGATGCCATGAGTTTTGACATTATTTGAATTAGACTGACGCTTATAATTTTGTTCTAAGAAATTTCCTTGCTGAATTAATGATCTAAAGTGTCGATCATAACATGATTATCAACTCTTCAAACGGAGTAGTCACGATTTGCAGACTGATGCATGGCAGCTCCTATTGAGACTTGCATAATCGGATACTGTTGCAATAAATGAAATTAACGTACTAGCGATAGAAATACCAAATTCGTATCTATATATGTTTTGTGTTAACACAATATCTAAATAAATTTCTTTGACAGATATTGTCAAATTATTCACAGTATTTCGCATTCATATATTTATATGTAGATAATAATTAGAGTCTTTAGAGGTGATGAAGTTAATGTGTAGCATTTATGTAAACCAATTAAATTAATGTCTTACATATATCATATAGTGTTATTACCATATGATATATTTTAACCGAGCAATTATTTTTTCTGTTTCTTACCTGAAGAGTCTGGTCACACAGGAACGTCCTAGTGTGAAGACCACAGTTAAAATGCGACAAGTTAATTAGTTAATTTTTTGTATTCCGTAAAGTATTTGGAAAGCTGTTGAATGTGTTGTCCTTATCACTCTCGTGCCACTTCGATAATGAATAAACATGACAAATATTCTGTCTACTAGTAACTGTACAAAATACATATATACTCCTATAAAAATGTTAATTGAAACAGCAGCGGTGTATCTTTGTGCCCCCTACTGGGCGACACGACACATATCGTGATTAAGCTATTGAAACAAACCTACTAGAATACAAATTACTTCTTCAAAGTAAATACAGTAATACTAGGAACCTCCCGGTGAGATCTATGCAGGGGAATTTTATATATTGTTCAAGGAAATGTAACGTTACTTGTGATTAAATAGCTTTTAATCATTTATATTCGCGAAATTCTATGGAAAAATTTAGCTCTCAGGACTGTTTTGTTTAGAGATATTTTACTTTTTTGTTCGCAAACGCTTGAAAGGCGGCAATTTCTTTCAAGTGTCTGATGTTTTTTAGTGCTAGCTAAGAACCGAACGTTCCTGTAAGTAAGTTGAACAGCGTACTATTGTTATTGTTTTATTTAAGTGGTTTGAGATGTTTCCTTCATAATGCTAATAAATATTTGCTATGGTCATAGCGATATCGTTGTTCAAACATCTTAATAAAAAGCTATTTTAGAGTTTAAAATCAGAACACATTGATAAAATTGTTTCGAAATCAGGTAATGTTTTGCCAAACATGAATACGGAAGAAAGTGGGAACTCATTCCCACGGTCAGGTTACTGATAACAAGAAATCAAATATTGATAACATGATAACACCCACTTGCTAAGGCGATAGATAAAAATTTGAACCGAAATGTCATCTCCTATTTCCACAGAAATTGAGATGATGATACAATTTGTGGTCCATTATTTCACATTCGCAAATTTTAAAAGAATTTTTAAATTTGATTATAGCATATATATAAAATAAATACAAAATCACAAAATTATTCAAAAATGGGCCTAACTCAGCTTAAAGTTGCTGTCACCAGCAAAACTGATTTTCAGTATTCCCATACTATTTTGGACTATTTTGAGTGACAGCTATATTACACTGAACAAAACCAAAATTTTAACAATTAAAATAAAAAACAAAATTTAAAAACAGAACAGAATAAAATAATCAAATACAAACAAAGAACATAAAGTGTGAGACAATGCAACTAAATTCCCAACAGTCGGCTGGACTGAAATTCCAAAAGATAACTTTTATATTTTATTTTAACTAAACTACCTTAGATGTCGCGAGTTGGAAGTGGCAGGTTGTTCCAGCGTGTAGTCGCATTGTATCTTTTCATGACTATCTACAGAAACACACTTAAAGTTATCATCTATGTTACTTAATATATACATAATAATTATCCAACATGTCTACGTTTGACACAACATAATTCATTGAATGCGGAGACACATATTTAATCATGCTAATCCAATGTCATTTATATTTTAACGAATAATATTGAACCAGTATTTTTATTACTATTACGGATTTAATGTTATTATTGCATAAGTGACATTTAAAGTCAGCTGCCGAACTACACCGTCTAATAAATTCGTTATTGCGCAGTGGACTATAACTGTCATGACATGATCAGATCTATATAAAATGAACTTTAACCCTATAAAATGCGAATGAACCATTTAAATATCTGTGTGGGAATTGTGAAATAGAAGATTTAACAATGTTTCAAATACAAGGACCGTTTGAACAGTCTCTGCGAGGTGGAGATGAATTGTCACCAAATGGAACCAAGACATTAGCTGCCTTAGCTAAAATTCACAAGCATTGTACGGGAAAAGCGCATGCGCACGGCTGTGGAGATCACAAACACCCGCTTGTAAAATCGGATTCCAACACAAGCATTCAATCACGAAAATCATTTCGAAACGACTGTGTCATAGAAATACAAGAAACAAAGAATGGCAACGGTAACTTAGCCAAAAATGGTAACCACAACTCTTATACAAAGAGTTTCAGTAACAGTACAAGCTCATATGACGGGCATAGCGATACCGATTCCGAAAATACATTTAAAACGCGCACTGAAACTAAAGCTGATCCATGTGAACGGCTATTCACACAAAACACAAAGGCATCATTAATGAAAACAGCCCGTATGCGCTATGCCGAAGATCCTGTTCCAGCTTTGCATGACGAAGTTGATGGAGAGAAATGGAAAAATGCTTTTAATAGAACCCCTTCGAGGGGAAGCATCAGGAAATCGTCAGCTGTTACTATTGAAGAAGTAAAGTCTGAGGGCTTGCGCAACGACGATGATCTTTCCCCTGTTGGTATTGACGATAAAAAGAAAATAGAAAATAAGTCACCCCTCGTGCGAAAAGGTTCCGGTAGAGTGATAAATGGTAAAAATATAAATGGCGCGAAGCCTCCATGGCGTGGTACATCCAAAAATGGTAACCAAAATGAACCATTTGTTCGGACGGGATCACTGCGTGGGAGCATCAGGAAGAAAAAGCCCGACGGAGTTCCTTGGCGAAGGCTTTACGACCTTGCCATGTGGAGACGTTATGGAGTGAGCTTTGCTGCTAAAGGGGCGGACTCCGAACGTGCTCTTTTACGACCATGGGCCGAGTTTTCATCACACCCTCAACCTCACTACGAGGTAAGTAGTAATCTAAATAAGGGAATAACCGTCCCCTCAAATTGGCAACTGTATTAGATATGTTATCGATTGCACGACTACAGATAACTCGATGTGGTGGCAGCTAGTCACGCTAATGCCTCGGCTAGCGGTCCAGTTTAAGTTAATTGAATTTTATTGTAACTGGGATTATAGACAAAGGGGCTACGTGTTTAAATATCGACTGTTGAAATAGTGTAAGTAATCTTATCTCTTTAAGCAAGGTGACCAACCTATGTTTACTTACAGATTGTTGTCATACGTATAGGAATTAGGAAATCGTTATGGAAATACAGCCAGAACTGGTTTTAGCGCAATCTGTTACATAAATAAAAATGTTTTTAAGGGTTGTATGACTACAAATAATTACTTTCTTTTTTAAGTTAATTTTGAATTGCGCTACCTGGCTGTTGTATATTTTATTTATTATACTGAAACATATTGAACGCAGTTCTAATTATAATTAACAAATATATAGTAAAGTAATACAGAAGTTATAGTTATAGTTCGCAGGTATTACAAAAAGGTCGATAAAATTAAATTTTCTTTACTTTTTATATATTATAAAGTTAATTGTGAGAGAATTTTTACTTTTATATCTAATTTAAATATTTATTTTAAATTCGCAGAGTCGTAAAGGTAACCTCAAATACACATTAACATTGTAAAGATTACAAAATCGCCAATGTCAGTAAGTTACAAGGCGATTACATAAGCCGGGCCTAGACACGAATACTAATGATTTGCAGATCAAACAAGCTCCTGGTGCAAAGAGTAGGCGTTTGATTTGCCATTTACAAAAAATATGTCATAAAAAGCAAGCTAGCTTTAGTGTATGGATGTAAAGTTACATGAATCTTAAGAATCTTATACATTTATTTTAAGGAATGGTGATATAGTGAGAGTCTGACTTATTGATTCTGTAAACTGTATATTATTATTACACTTCTTTGGCGTAACAAGATAAAAGTCTTTTCAAAGATTTTATTCTACGTTTGCAGAAAAAACGAAACCAACAATAGATTAAACTAAAATGTTGATTATAGCTAACTTCAGAGTGTCGGTTTTTAGTGACGGTATACGCGCTCATCGTAAAAGTTTACTCTCATCATTTTTCCCTAACGCGCCAAGAGACGTATCACTTAAAAAATTGTTATATTAAGCAAATAATCATTTTTTTAATACTAGCAATAGCGGCCACTTCATACACATAAACAAGAAAGCATTGATAAGATATTAATTTTTAGTACGTACAAATATACGTTTATCTAAACTTCCTTTGGAATGAAGCTGTCTAATGAAAACTACATTAAAATTTCGTAGTTTAAAGAATCTACTCTCGTTTAGTATGAGATAAGGGCTGGTTTAAGAGCTACGCCGCAGACGAGAGATACATAGGTACCACAAACACGTTTATATCGGGTTTGGAATTTTTATACAAAGTATGTTAATTGCTTGCATATAAAATATATCGTAATAAACGCGAAGTATACATCATTATGGTATTATAATATTGAGGTACAACAATCGCAATGTCGCAACATTATGCTATGTTAATCCATATAATTTGGTTATATGTAAAGTTCAACTTACAACTAAGGTAATCTTTGTAGTTTTCCTTAGTTGCTTGGAAAATCACAGTGCCTGGCAAAAGGCACAAATGCGCCAGAAAAAGACAATATTCAATACGCACACGCGAACCTGTTGATAAGTCTCCACGGCTGCGCAATTTACTTTAAGAAATAGGACCCTTCTACGTCTCAAAACTACTGATTAGTTTACTTAAAAAGACAGTGGCTACAACCTCTTGGTTTTGGTCCCAAATTTTTGTATCTGTTTCGGGGTTTTTTATTTTGCGATTGGCAATTGGGTGATCAGATTTTTTGCCTGCCGCACGCCGTCGATTTTGGTTCTAAGGCAATATCACAATGTTTTCTTTTACCGAGCATTAAATGCGTATTAAGTATGCACATAGAAAAACTCATAGTTGTAATTCGCACGCCCGAACTTGAGGTTGAAAGGCACACTTAAATAAAAATTATCCCGAAAATATATCAATAATTATTAATATATTTTATCTATGAAGTTTCATTAACGCAATAAAATTACGTTATATAAATGCTAGAAAAAGTAATAATAATTATTATTATATAATAAATCTCTTAAAATGCGATTTCTTGTTCCATAATAAACAGTATTTAATCATTTATAAAGTGTCCATTTAGCGAAAGTCAGTTTAAGTTATCAGATTACATCAGTTCGGTGTGTTTGATCTCTGGCTTATTAATTCTAAAGCAACTTTATCATAGAGATCTCAACAGTTAACCCTTTAGTAATTGCAATATTAAAATATTGTACTACTATTAGCGTGTTATTCTATACGAATGATGCGACGAGTAATAATTTTATATGTATATTTATAACTTATACGCGCGGTTAATTTTAAGATTTTCAGCATAGTCTTGGAAAAGGCGTGGAATGGTTTGGTAATTGATTTTACAATGAAACATATAATAGTGCCGCAAATAAGTATAACTACAAAAACAGTTTTATATTAAAAAAACAGTTATTGTCAATTATTGAACTACCACAATTTTGTATTCGTTAAAGTTAGTCATACATTTCTGTGGTAAGAAAATAAAGAAGCACAATCGCGAAGTCGGGGAATTTATAATTTTAATCTAAATTTAAATCATTGTTTTATTGTGATAAATAATCGTAATAATAATAAAATCGCGATTATCATTTAAATGTATATTATGGTCTAAGATCCCGCTATACAACGACCTTCACCGAGATGCTTATTTAATGAAACTTATTTTATATATAATTTAATATGTCAATAAATATAATCCATATGACGACTCATTGGTCTAGTGGTTAGTACCCCTGAATGCGAATCCATGGGTCCCGGGTTCGATCCCCGGCTGAGACGAACATCGATGTGATGAGCATTTGGTGTTGTGCTTAGGTCTTGGGTGTTTAAATATGTATTTATATGTCTATCTATCTATGTATGTATATCCGTTGCCTAGTACCCATAACACAAGCTTCACCAGCTTAGCATGGGACTCGGTCAATTGGTGTGAATTGTCTTTAAAAAAAAAAAAAAAAATATGGGTTGCCTAGCAAATTTCAGTCCAGAGTATGTTTAATTAATTTAAAAAAAATATTTTTTTAAACATTTCACCGGTTTGATTATGAGATAAATTCTATACCAATCGAACGTATGAAGCCCATAGAATATGCAAACGTTAGGTTGTTTTTAATCAATTAATTATTTATGTGTATATTTTTTATGTGACACTAAGGTATATATACATCTTTAGTATAAAAGAAGGTTATAGTGATACATATATAATACTACCCTGATTAAAAATATTGATTGAAAAAGTTCAAAAAATTTACTACATGCAAATTATAAAAAAATTTTTTTTTAATATTAATTAAACATACTCTGGACTGAAATTTGCTAGGCAACCCATATGGATTATATTTATTGACATATTAAATTAAATATAAAATAAGTTTCATTAAATAAGCATCTCGGTGAAGGTCGTTGTATAGCGGGATCTTATACTATTACCCGAAATTTTAAATGTGTGTGAATAATATGGAATAAACAAACAAAACACGTTGTCTTGGCCTTAGATTTCTGTATATGATCCGTGATCATTTTTTTAATAGGCAAGTAAGTGGTCAGCCTCCTGTGCCTGACACTTCGACTAATGCGTTTAAGACCGGCCTCCACACGATGATTTTATTTACAGTACGTGTTAAATGTCCAGATAGATAGAAGTCCATTGGTGGCAAAGCCGAGTTTCCGAAAACGACCTCATGGTTGAGATACGTATGTTACTAGGCCAACACTGCTCTGAGTAATGTAATGATACATAGTTAGCCAGTTCAGTAGTAAAAATTTACTTTTGAAATGATGTGTCCCATAAATATCTCATTATTGAGTATCTAAAACTCTTGGAATTTAGCAGTCATTTGAAGGCTTAGCGAGTACTTAACAAGCACCTTAATACACAATTTTATAAATATGAAACCTGAATTAAGACAATAATAATTCGATTAAGTCATACATCTATGTTTTCCTTAATAAAATGTATCACAATTTAATTTTTTTTAGTTAAGGAAGCTTTAGATAAAATTTACCGTAACTTGGATGCAATTGATGAACCTGATATTTCCTTAACTACATTTAAACATAGGTTTAAACATTGCGGTTTCGTGTTTGTAGTTCAAAGTGCCTAATGACAATATTCGACGTGTAGCTGGATCCGTAAATGGATTCTATGTCAGATATAATTATACAACTGTCACCGCATCCCATATAATTAGACAAGATATATGCCAATAATATGTATAGATGCATAATCCATGCTCTTGAATCTTGATGAGATAAATGTATGTAATTTATTATGTTGCAACTTGCAATATCTGTGTCCTTCAGGCTGTAATAATTGTTATTTAAGCTTTTTGAAGTTATACTTCTTTAGGCGGGTTTAATGAAAAATTGATGAGAGTGAAATTTTACGATGCGCGCGCACCGTGACACAAAATTAACAGAATGAAGTTGCCCACGGAAGATGCTACTGCATTGGACATAATTTAAAAACAACATTCGAATAATAATAGAATTTATGTTACACTAAATGTAAGAGAGAGAATAATAAATATCTATTTATTTAATTTTTCAAATGTAAACTGACTATTTAACTGATTATTGACTATAATGAATCCTTTTCAAATCTTTGATTATTTTATTGTAATTAATTATTTGCATGCAATCAAAAACTATTTTTAATAATGCCAAACAAGTATAACTTCTTACGCGCGTACATAAGTACACGCACCCTTTTTTTATAATTATTTTTATTTTCATTACAAGTAGTTGTAAAATTATATCAAATGTTAAATATGTACTGTGGACATAAATATGTATTCCCAAGTAAGACATTTTTATCATATATACTAAAGAAATAATTAAGTTATTTGTCAAGCTCAGTTTTGATTGAAACATTTTATCCGAC